ATTTAATCCAGGAGGACAGAAACAGAGCTGACCATCTTCCACAATGGTCACTGAAGCCCCACAAATAGTTGAGACCACTCATGGGAAGTGTGCAGAGAAGAGCCCTGGAATGCCAAAAGTTAAGGTTGGACAGAAAAGGAGAACAGTTTACAAAAAGGCCTGAGAAGAAATCCAGGAAAGCATTATGAAATAAAGAGAGTAATGAAGAAACAATGGCTACTAGGGCAGGGTGATGAAGCCAGATAAGAACCAAAGGTGTTCACAGGATTCAGCAGCAAGGTGTGACCGTGGTAGTGGTGTGGCTGGCAAAAGCAAATTATGAGGAATCTGGGATATGGAAACCCAGGGATAGGGTCAGGGAGTAAGTGGTAGTCAAAAGCTGGGGCAGAAATGGTAAATGTATGAATATTTTCATGAAGAGTTGCTTACAGGGTGGTGAGAAGACATGATTGCATGCAGATAATGTGCCAAGACCTATAACAATTGTTTATAGAAGGAATGGGAGCATAACAGAATGCGAAAGCATGGAACAGTCAGAAAAGACTTTATGGGGGAGAAAAAAAGTGTTTAATCTTGAAATGGAGATTAGCTTATCATTCATCTAAGGAGGGAGGACTTTTCTGGGGGGAGAAAAACAGCATGAATAAAACAGGGAGGCAAGGGAAGTTGTGGGCATACTTAGGTTCTGTTTGACATCCTACTTCGTAAACCCTTAATTTCAACCAGACTAGACTGTTCACTTGAATCCAGATTAGCAGCCTTTGATCACCTCCATATCTTTGTCTATAGTGTTCTCTTTATTCCAAATGCCCACCCCTGCAACAAATATCCAAATTTTCCTCATTTCTGTGGTCCAGAGTGATCACTAGGACCTCCCAGAAGCTTGCATGAATGTTTTTCTTCTCCTCTAAATGAGAGCAATCCTTTGTCCCCTCCCCTTGGGAACTCTCATTGCACTATATTTGGAGATCTCTTATAGCATTGTAATGAAGCCTCATAATTACTGAAGGAAGTATCTTTGCATCCAGGGATCATCTTTTTGTTTGGACTCATCATGATATTACTCTCAGTACCCAACATAGGGCCTTACACTTAGCAGGTTCATTTGTGGTTTTCAAATTGTGGTCTCAGAACCAGAAGCATTAGCATGTCTGGGTAATTGTAAGAAACACTGATTCTCTGACTTCACCCACAACCTGTTAATCCACAACCTGTGCGGGTGTTACCAACAATCTGTGCTTCAGCAAGCCCTTGGATGATGCTTATGCAGCTAGTATTTGAGAACCACTGAGCTCCTGGAACACAAACATGAAACTATAGTTCCTTTATCAGTGTTTTTTTTCTTATTATATCCAAGAACACAGCTTTAAACCCATGCAACATATTCTCTGTATAAGGAAGTTGAGGAATTTATTAGCCAAGAAACTTAGCAATAAAGAAATGGTATCCTTGTGTCCTGCAGGATGCCAGTCTCTGGTTTGAGTAACATCCAAGAACTAAATATCAAATGAATAGAGTTTGACCTTCCTGATGGCTAAATTCCATATTTTTCCTTGTCTTTCACTTTGCCCTTTGCTTTCATTTCTCCCCTTCCTTTCCCCCTTTTCATTTTCACATTTAAAGCTGTCCTTGGTTACATTCTCCTGATATTGTGCACTTTTGAGAAAAGAAGCTACAAAAGTCTTAATGAGTAAACCATATCCAAACAGTTGCAATAAAACCCAAAGATTTTCCAACGAGTTCAAGTGGATTAGCCCAGACAATTTAGAATGAGTAGGGAAATGTTCCATTTTGCTCATATTCTTTCAGCAACCCTTTGCTTCAGAGACAGGATTTCAATCAGTATAAAGAGACATCTTTTCTTGGAGTCTAATTCACTTCAAACCATTCTAGGCATACTTCCTGCTTGGTGAATTTCAGCATTTACTGAAATCTCAGTTTCCTGTGGTGTAGAAAGCTGCTCTGAATTTTTGCCAAGAAGTTCTGAGCTTTTGTGTCTCTTCAGCCCTAGGAGATAATCAGACAAGCTCTGGGCTGGGCAAAGGTGTCACAAAGATTCACCTTTGTGAATTTGTCACCAAATCAGCAGTGTCCTTAACAGGCAGCCTGTCCTTTGCTTAATGTCTAAGCACCTTCCCCACAAGTCCTAACACTTCTATCCTATTGTGAGTGACATGTATTTATGACATATATACATAATATATGTGTTATGTATACAGTGACATATATAAGTCCAGCATATATACCCCGTGTGTGTGTGTGTGTGTGTGTGTGTGTGTGTGTATGTATGTGCATGTATGTGTATGGGCACATAATGTGTACAAATGCATCTATGAAGAAGATTAGATGAGAAGAATTTCAATACCAAAAAAGCTATACAACTGAAAGCCTTTTTGATTCACTGTAATGAATGAACAAGATTCAGTCTAATAAAGATCATATAATATCTGTGTATAATAACTGTGTGCATTTAAAACATTAAAAATGGAACTAAATATCTGACCATAGCATACAGAGGCACACTTTCATTTATAAAAACAACATTGTGGCACACATTTCATCATATAATGAGAACAATACACATCAGAATTGCATTTTATAATATATATATAAAGACCAGTTAAGTCTGTTCTCAAATCTGCTAAGTATTATGGGGAAGGAAAGCAGAAAATGTAGAAATTTGGAAGATAGATCTTCCAAGTCTTAAAAAAGTGAAAATATAAAAACTGTTTCTTCGAGATATGTGTGTGTGTGTGTGTGTGTGTGTATAATCTGAGATATATGCATTTGTGTGTGTGTGTGTGTGTGTGTATATATATATATATATATAAAATATATATATATGCATTTGTGTATATATATATATTTTTTTTCCTCCCTAGTTCTGATGACTCTGTTCCGGAAAGCGGGAAGTATTGAATTGTAGGTCAACTTGAGTTTCAAGATGTGTAGTTACCCTTCAGTGTTTTACAGAGTCTCCTAAAATCTTTGCCATCTCCAGTTAGGTTAAGTTTATTGATCATTTGTTGGTTAAAGAAATAAGAGTCCTAGAAATGATGAGAAAGTGAGTTATGATTTCTTTCTGTCCCAAATCTATCATGGTTCATCTCTAAGAGATTATCTTGAAAAATGAGGTTCATGCATATTATTAGACATTGCTTTCAGTAACTTCATCCTTTGGGGACAAATTAATGCTAAAAGAAAGATGCTCTGTTTCTAGCTCTCAAACTGTTGATGTCCAGATTATTATAAATTATATTTCACTATGGAAAGGGAAAAAATAGTCCTTTTGACAGAGTCTAAGTTTTGAGAAAGAATTTTAATCTATGGAGACTGGATAAAGGATTGTGTTTAAGTCATTTGATGTGCCCAACTGGGGTATCTGTTTTCTTCTCTGGCTTGGACTTATAAATATTTAAAATAGTGTTCCCTTCTAAAGACTACTGTCAGTTTTGGTGGACAAGGCCCATTTACAAATAACGACACATGGAAGTCTTTAAGGATGGGGAGGAAAAACTGGGGAATTGGATGATACAGTTTAATGTAAGAGGACCAGAAAACCAAGATTTTTAAAAATATTTTTAATTATAGATGGATACAATATCTTTATTTTATTTGTTTATTTTTATGTAGTGCTGGGAATCAAACCCAGTGCCTCAGCCTCACGTATGCTGAGTAAGCACTCTACCACTGAGCCACAACCCCAGCCCCAGGGCTTTTTTTTTTTTTTTTTTAACCTGACAGTTTCCTAAGCAACTAGGCTCAGTTATCAAGAAAAACAAGCCCTTACCTACAGACCAGTTCTATTGAGGTGAAGCATTCCATCACAGAATCCATCTCTTCATTTAATTCTGTGACTTTTGCAGATTTTCTGTCTCCTTTAAGGTTAGGGTAGGGAAAGGGGGATCCCCTAAGCCCCACTCTGAAGGTCATTTAAGGTTCACCAGTCCCACCCAGCCCTTTTGGTCCAGTCAGACCATGTGCTAGCATCACCCCAGTTGGCATTTTCCAGGCCATTCCTTTGTGTGCCCCCAGGTTCTGAGATCCCCACAGCCCAATTCTGCTCCAACAGGATCTTTCTACCCTCTCTGTCTTTTGGACTGCACTATTTAACAAACAAACAAACACAAAAAGCAATCTGTTTAACCAGATCTGGCTTACTGATTTAATTCTTCCTCTACTTGCAAAATAATTCAAACCAAAACTTAGAAATTCAACAGTTCAATCTTCTCTGGATGCTTTTATGAACAGAAATATATAGAAAATGTTGGGGAAAAACCCAACAGGAAATATCTGAAGACATGCAATTCCTGAGACATGAAGGAAGTGAATATTGCTAATGGTCCTATGTAAAGGAAAAGACTTAACAATGGCTGTATTACCTGAGTGCTTCCTCTCTATGCAAGGCACTTAATGCAAGGCACTAAGCTACCCACCCGAGCTGAGTGTTTTTCATAGCTTATTTCATTTAATCCTCACCAAAGGTAAGTATTATTATTAAATCCTAATTTATAGACCAGGAAACTGAAGCTTAGTGAGCTTAAGTTACATGTTCAACATCACAGAACTAGTAAATAGTAGAGGCAAATTGAGAAAAGAAGCCAGCACACACTCTTTCTGGTAAGCTATATTCTTCTCCTAACTCAAAGATTGCCTCTAAGCAGTTTTCATTTAATTCTGAGTAGTGATTCTCAATCTTGGGCTATTTTGCCCCTCCTCTAGGGGACATTCTGTTATATCTGGGAACATTTTTGGTTTGTCTCAACTGACATGAGAGTGTTCCTGATGTCCTAGAAAGTAGAGACCAAGGATATTGCTAACTACGCAAAGCTCAGGATGGCCTCCCACAATAAAGAATTAATTATCTGTTCTAAAATGTCAACAGCGCTGAGGTTGAAAAAGCTTGATTCAAGGGATCATGGATTTTTTTAAAGCCAATTCATAAAGATCAAGGGTTTTTGTCTATACCTCAATCCTATGTACATTCTGTCCCCTCACAGATGACAGCAGCCTTCTGAATCTAACTCCCTACCCTCTGGTTAGAAGACGGAAGAGAAGGTTCTTTGGGCTATGTTGTCTCGTCTCAAGCTAGGCTCTTCTTCTTCCTGAAGCCCACCACTGAAAACACCTGGAAAAAAAATTACAAAACCGGAGGACCTCCGGACAGCTGGACCACACAGTGATGGGTTTTTGACTATATTTTCTATGCTTCCTTCTTATTACTTTTATCCGCCTCTCCCTACCCTTTTAAATGATTTTACACTTGAAAGCAGCTGCCTTCAAGAGAAAAAAAAAAAAGAACAGAATCAAAAAGCAGGCTGTTTTTAAAAGGATTTTTAAAGCTGACGTTGTGCATGTCTGCTCCAAACCATGCCATAATAGATGCAAGGATTATGATTTTTAAATCATTTAAAGGTTTTTTAAATGTATTATACAGAGAAAATTTATTTCACTTATAATAGTCTATCTATAGCTCTTGCTGATCTCAACAATTTATCATAAATGAAAAGTCTTTAAACATAGAAATTATTTAAAACTGCAAAACTGTGTTCAAATATTCAATCTATCGATATCATTAGAAATACTATAATCAAACATACACCACCTCACATATTGCTTTCTCTGCACTCATTTAAGTTTAGTCTTCCATTCTGTCAGAATCTAAAAGCTTCAACATAAAAATATCTTAATTTATAATGCAACAAAAATCATATATGAAAAATATTTAGTTTTGTAAATATACAATAATCCTAATAACTTCGTACAATGCATATGGGCAACTAAGTTCCCTTTGATCCAATGGTGTCTTTTTCAGCTTCTTGGAGAATGAAGTTATCCAGTTAGGAAATGGTGTAGTAACATATACAATTACCCTCCAATGTAAAATTGAATATTATCACATTTCGTTCTAATTGAAATTTGAAGCATGGTGTCTGCACATCAGCATAGTGTTAAATCTTATAGGGCATGCTGGAATTAGCTCAGATTGTAAAAATATTTAACATTTTACATTATTAATAAAAAAAATTTTAGTTAAGCTAAGCTTGTCTCATTTTAGATGACTATGCAGATATGACTTTTCCAATGTGTACTTGGTGTCTTGTCTTATGCTTAGAATCTTGAAAGCAGGACACATTAAGCAATACTATATTTTAGAAAGGAGGAAGCCACGTGCTTTATTTATCTGCTCCAGACTTCATTGTGATCTTCCTCCACTAAACTTGTATCATGGTATAAATTTTGTTATATTTTCCCCCTGCTCTTCCTTTGACCTATTTCCCACACAGAATTTCCTGTGGTTTGAAAGATCAAGTCTTTGCACTTCTTTTCTTGTTTCACATAGTCTGAACAATTTTCAAGTCGGACAGAAGATACCAGGGTCCAGTACAATAGAAGAAGGAGCTAGATGCCTACAAGTGGTTTACCCAAGATACAACTTTAATCTCAATCCTGTATAGTCACTTATATATACACCAATACTGTGACCTAAAAACTAAATATATTAAAGCTTTTAGCTTTCATGAAGATGAAGAGAGTAAATAATTATTCTATTAGGTTGAATTATATGAAATTGCTGGTATTTGACTGTTTTGACCTACAAAATAGCATTTTCATATAGTTCATTCTATTGGAATAGTCTTCTAGCTCCTTGTATTGAAAGCAAACAAAAGGATTAAAGGGTTGGAGGAGAACTCCAAAGGCTATGCAGGTCTCTATTTTTATTACACCAGCTATTTATTGACCTTATTCTTGGAGTCCAGAGTTGTGTTTCAAAGGACTGGTAATGAATATGAGGTTACAGGTATTCTGGCCTCCCACAAACAGAAGTACCCCAGACAAGTCATATGAGAAAAATCACAATTTTCTTTGTTAAATAATTGTAAAACACTATGGGACCATGCTATTTAAAGACTCAGTTGAATACTCCCTTAGAAAACAAGCAACCACTCCCAGACTCAGCTGGTCTGCTCACTTTGATTTTTACAAATCAATCTTGATTAAAGCTTAATATTTTTTCCTGGATCTGGTTCATTTTCATCCCCTGAGCTTATTTTATTTAAAGGCCTGTTTTCAAAATTATGAGTAGCCCAAATTGGCATGCTCTCAGCTCCCATCTCTGCCCTCTCCCACCCTTTGACTATATTGACCTCTTAGCTTCAATCTTGTTCCTACTAATCCATGCAAAGCTACTAAATGATAAGTCCGACCTTGGTGTTCAGCACGTTCTTCTAAATGCCTGACCTAAATCACTTCTGCTTGGTTAATTTGTGCTCACTCTCGCCTTAGTCTCTGTGTGAAGTAACACTTACCTTCTGTGCAATTGTCCTTTGTACAGCTGAAGACTGTTAATAAATTCAGGTCTCACCTCCATGTCTGGGAAGGCTGTAGTAGCTACTCATGGAGATGGGAATTTGTCTAATTACTTAGCCAGACTTTCCATATCTAAGGTAATATATTCAGCCACCTTATCTTTTATTCATAGTGCCTGTTTTCCAGCCTTCGATCAGTTTTATAGTTCCTGTAGACACACTCCAAGATTTATAGATGTCCTTGCAGTAGCAGGTCCTAAAAATTACATTTAGTACTCAAAGTTCTGATAACCTACATTGGCTCCTAGCTGCAATAGGTAATTTACCATCTCCCATTAGATATGCCAGCACAACCTTTAAGAGCTACCCCTCTCTACTCTCACCTACCCAAGGACTTTCTCAGGTGTGGTCTCATGAGATAAAGTTCTGCTGTCTTGGCTTCTGCTAGTGATTTGCTTTGAGATTGGCAATAACCTTGAGCTGATCTCAAGGGTAAGAAGAGAATTTTAAGCCTATTTTCTCATGTGTACCCACAAACTTGAAACAGAAAAGGATGTAAATTTTGTGGCACACACTCACTTATTTGACCACCATATTTGTAATATCCTATGTTGGTTTTCCCCCCAGATTACAACAACAATATGTGTTCCCTGTGGGAAACCTGAAAAATACCACCTCATATAAGGAAAATAAAAATCAACGAAATTTCACCAAAATCATTGCACTTAAAGCCCCCTGGATTTTAGATCAGTCAGAGGACTGGGCCCAAAGGCACTTTAGGATAAGATGAGTAAAATGTCTACAAGTCCAAGGTATCACTTTGAAAATCTCTCTGCTTATGTTTTCCGTGCATCTAGGTGCAGACTCACTGCAAGGAGAACTTTAGAAATAGAACAGTCTGATGCCTCCTCAAGTGAATTAAAGCTCTTGGGGGAAATTCTGAATTCTGCCTCACCATTTTGTTCCTCTGTGCCCCTGTGAAAACTGTTGAGATGCTCAGTGTTTGGTTATACTGCCACCTACTGAAAGTTGGGCTTCAGAATGAGGGGAAATAAACAGTATAAAACCATAGGATTCATTTAAGAAAGGGAACAAATGGGGCCAGATTAATAATGATCCTGTCTGGAATTTCAGACTCTGAAAGTCTTGACATTGAAAGGATTAAGGCTGTCATACAGCTTAACTTCCTATCCCTCAACCCCATACTTCAGCAGTATTCATTACTGCTTGTGTTCTAGAATGTCACCAAAAGGAAAGCATTCAACCTTTAGGTAACTATAGGCAGATTAAGAAAAAGCAGTGGTACTAGTGGCCTCACTAGAATTAAACACACAGTCTACAATTAACCCAAGAACAAATAAAAAAATCAAGCACATTATAAATATAACATTTCAAATTTGAGAAAACATTGAATTATTAAACAACTTTTATTGGGATAACGGATTAGCCATTTATTGGGAGAAACATTAGAACTATACCTCATAACTTTCATCCAAATAAATTCTAAATTAAATAAAGATAAATATGTTAAAGCACATAATTAAGCGTACAAAAGGATTAGCAGGCAACATGGATGAAGATGCTATTTTAGTGTGGAAAAAGACAAACAATCAAACAAACAAACAAAAAAGCCTTTCTAAGCATAATGCCAAAGGTAATAATTGTAAGGAAAAGATGGATGGATTGGACTGATTCAAAATCAAAAATTCCTTTGAAAAAACACCAAATTAAGATAAAATATTATTTTTAATATATGAAACTGAGTCTAGATCTCAAATATATACCAAGAGTTTAAATACCACTGCTTTAGGGAAGTTTTCATGGTTTATAATCCCCCCATACTTTTTTCACTATTGCTTGTTTAATTGTCTGGTTATCCTGCTAAATTGGAAGTAGAGATGACAGCAACCATGACTATTTTGCTTACTTTGTTTTCCCAACTACTAACACAGCTCGAGACACACAGATAATACTGAAAAGATTTATTGAGTGAGTGAATAATGAATGAATGACATGAGTGATATTTTATGACTCAAAAAAGAAGCAAACTTTCCAGTGGAAAATTGAAGTAAGGACACAAAGTGGCAATGTATCATAACTTAAAATAATAGTTGAACTACTAGTAATAAAAAATACAAATTAGTCTGACAAACTCCCTTTTACATCTCAGAAAGGCTGAGAGTTAAAGAATTAAAGTTTCCAGGGACAACTAAGAAGTATGGAAATGAACATTCTCTTACAGTCAACAGGAGAGTAAATTGATTCAACCTTTCTGGAAAATATTTTGGCACTATATTTTTCCTGTATACCCAGTAATTCCATGTTAGGGAAATTTTCCTTTAACATTTTCAGCAAAAAAGGAGTAAAGATGCATTTATTCATTATACAAATATATGCAAGAAAAGATGTTTATAGCAGCATTATTGGAGAAGTAGGAAAATGAAAATAAGCCTACATTATATGGTTAGTTGAATAAAGTACCTCATCCAATGGAATTCTGTGCACCAATAAAGAATAAGCTCTATGTATATGTATTGAAATGTACAGGTTAGATTATGAAATGAATAGAAGGAAGTTGCAGAATACCATATGATCCCTTTTAAAAACATACATACACATGTGTGCATTGGAGTCTGAAAGGATGCTTGCCAAAGGATAACAGAATTTATCTCTGGGAGGTGAGATTTGGAGCAGTTGTATTTTCTTTTTTGCATATCTGTAATTTCTAATTTTTCCACATGAGCATGTAGTATCTGTATAATTTTTTCAGGGAATAAACAATGATGTTCACAATATATATTAAATGAAAAACATGTTATAAAACAGTATGTATACTATGATATAATATTTGTAAAAAGAAAATTATATATAAATATATCCATGTATGTATATATATATATGCATAAGCAAGCTAGAAGGACACACACTACAATGTTAATAGCAGTTATCTATGGGTAGTGGGATTATGGGTGATTATTTTTTCTTTTGCTTTTCTGTGTTTTCTAATTTTTTCTACAATGAACATGTATTACTTGTGTAATAAAGACTAATAATAAAAGTTTTAAAAATATGTAAAAGTGAGAGACATTATGACTCACCACTTTTCCTACCCCATCCTACCCCTTACTTGGCTTATTCCATGTTATTAAATTGTAAGCAAAGGGATGTGGAGAGGAAATCCCAGGGCACCAGATTGAAGATAAAAGAGAAAGAGGAGTGGGAGGAAACAAGGAGGGGAAAATGGAGCGAGACAAGAAGGAAGGAAGGAAGGAAGGTAGGAAGGAAGGAAGGAAGGAAGGAAGGAAGGAAGGAAGGAAGGAAGGCAAGAGGAAAAAAACTATTAAGTTAATGAGAACAAAAACAGGCTTTGGAAACTTTTTTTTTACTAACAATAGCAAAAAAATTTAAATAACGTTCATTTGAGAGCTTCATCAAGAAAAAAATACATAGTGAAGAAATATTATTTATTAATAAAAGGGTGCACACACACATCTGTAGAGACATCTAAGAATTAAATTCTGATAGAAGGTAACCCACAAATCTACTTGATAGTCAAACTACTAAGTGTAGCTGCTGTCAAGGGCTGTGCTGTGCAAGTTAGAGTTACACAGTCCTGATCTCAGATGTGCTCAAACAAAGTACCTGGCTATGGCTGGCTATTTCAGTACTCATTATCTCCTTTTTGTCTTTAGTAATAAAGACCCTAAGTATCAGGGACATATGGCCATCGAAAGTAAAGACTGTTTCTCAAGCTCCTTTGGAGGTGGGTGTGGCTATAAAACTAATTTTGACCAAAGGTATATGAGTGAAAGTGTGCAATTCCTAGCTAACATCCTTAAAGCAGGGAGTGTGCATCCCATGCTCTTCTTTCCTTCCCTTTAGACTACAATGAGAACAAGAGTGTAAAAGCTGAAGCAACCATGTCAGACTCAGAAATGCAATCACATGTGGTTAGCAGAAGTTCCTTAGAAGGCCTGGGTTATCAATTTCCATTATATTAAATATGGAAACCATTCCATCAATCAAATCACTTCTATCTTGTTTAAAGCATTAGTAGGGTGAATCCTTGTACAGAAGAACCTATTCACTGAATTAATCAGCTTCTCTAAATTTCGATTTCTTAATGGGAAAAAAAGTAGGACTATAATCCCATCATCACAAGAGATTCAACCAAATAATTTTCTAATAACTCATTTCAAACACAAACTCCTTTATGAGAAAAGCCAAACAACTAAAACATTATAAGTACTGTGTTGGAGAACAGCAGAAGAAAGGGGAAACTTTCAAAACACTTTTAAATTGTGTTTTGAATAAAATATGCAATTTATTTCCATATGGAAAAGAAACTAAACTTGAGTCCTGTCTCAAACCATACATAAAAAAATAATTCTAAACAAAAAAAATCCAAGTTGATAACTATATTAGTCAGCTTTCTATCATTGGGACCAAAATATCTGATAAGAACAAATTGGAGTGGAATTGGACATACTTTCTGATGTGTGTGTGTGTGTGTATGTATGTATGTATGTATTGTCATATATATGACAATACATACATATATATATATATCATATACATATACAAGAAAGTAATTTAAAAAAAACATGGATAAATGGCAGAAAGATCAATAGATGGAAATGAGCAGAGGGGTGGGGAAAGGAAAGGAGAAGTAAAGGTACTAAGGACAAAATTAGAACAAGATATATTTTCCATGCTTTTATAATTATGTTAAAATGGGTTCTACTGTTAAGTATAACTAAATAGAACCAATTAACAAAAAACAAACTAGAGGAGGAAAGGTTTATTTTGTCTCACAGTTTCAAAGCTTTCAGTCCATTGGTCAGACAGAACATCATGGCAGAAGGGCATGGAGAGGAAAGATGCTCAGCTCATGGTAGCTGGGAAGCAGAGGAGGGCAGCTGGGGCAAGATATAGTCCCCAAGAACACATACATATCTGTGATCTAATTTTTCCAACCATGTCCCACCTGCTTACAGTTTCTACCACCTCCCAATATCCATTCAGCTTTCAGTGGATTAATACACTGATGAAGTCAGAGCTGTTATGATCTAATCACTTCCTAAATGCCTCACTTCTAAACTGCATTGGAAACCAAACCCTCAAAATATGAATTTTTGGGGGGACACTTCATATTTAAACCATAATAATTTGTGATATAAAGGTAAAAAGGAGAGCAATAAAGCTTTCAGAAGATTATATAGGAGGCTATATTCATATCTGTAGGGTTAAAAATAGTTCCTACCAGGACACAAACTGCCTTGGAAAAGTGTTTAACATTATCTAATATCATAGAACATATAGAACTATGATTTAGTAATTTCACTCTTGGGTAGAAATCCAAAAGAAATATATATGTATGTGTATTAAAAGACAGGCAAAAGAATGTCCACAGGCATTTGTAATAGTTTGTAACTTACTATTTGTAATTAGTTTAAAACTCTAGACAATTCAAAGATTCATCAACAGAATGTATAACAAATAAATTGTGACATATTCCAGCAATCAGATGCTGCACAGCAGTAAGAACTTACTGTAGCTATGTACAACCACATTATAATGGGATATACCCATTATAATGTTGAATGGACAAAAGTTAAATGCAAAAGCACGTATACTGCTCTTAGCAACCATCATCTGCAGCAGCTGAAAGAAGGATGCCATGGCCCTATAGCATTGGCTGCAGTTCATCCTTTGCACAGCTCAGATTAACTTCACACAGTAAGTTTACTCCACATGGGAACAGCTTCTTTGGCATTCTGTTGTCACAATTCCTGGGGACATATACCAAAAGAGGAAAAATCAAAGCCTCAAATTTTGCAGTTGGTAACAAGATTATATACTGATACTCATCATCTCTTTTCTATACCATCCATTCTAGATTCCCTTCATCCCCCGCTGGCACTTCTGGGTTGTCTGTGGGGATGGTCAGGACCTCACCATTGAATGGTATGAGATCCCCGGTACCATGCTCTTATTGAACTTTGATTGCTATACTTTCCCACTTACTTAGGCATTGTTGAGCCTATGCATTGACAGACCAAAAGACAACCCAGAGGGTTCCCTGCATGCCAAATGTATTGCTCCATGTCCTCCTCATGTTGCAGTAGCCCTCCCTCCTCATGATGGTCAGGACTAATCGCCCCTGTCCATGTGGGAACTCTTCTGTTTGCCTCCTAATGTACTGGAATGAGGAATCTAAAATGACCACTCAACAGCTGTGCTTCAAGTTTACTGGAACTTTCATTTCTTTTCTATAAGACCCATAGATTCTACAGTTGTAAGAATAGGAAGCACAGATTTCTCAGTCGTTCAAAGTCCCCTCCTACTCTTACTCCTTGCTTTTCATATATTTTCAAATATTCTCTCTATTGGAGCTACATAACCATAAATTGAGCATTGAGTAGAATGTAGTGTGTCCTGAAGTAGGACACCCAGAGAAGAAGGGTCCTCTCCTTTAAAAGAACACATCACCATGCCATCAAGAAGGAGCTTCTGCAGGGTGGAGTATGTGATAGGGACAGTGGATCCCATAGTCATGTTTTCACTGATGTACCTTCTCTGTTGCAAAGCGGGGTCTATGGTCTGGAACACTGCTGATATGAATCCATGTCAGTAGATCAGACACTATGTGAGTCCAGGGATAGTGGGGCTGGCTGATGCCCTGAATTCAGCAAAGGCAAGACACATTCAGAAGACAGGTTACTCTTAATCAGGGAAAACATTGTCAAGTTGTCATCAAGTAGCAGGTTGTTCACCTTGTATCAAAGACACAGTGTTGATCTCTATTTGCCTAGACATTCAGCAGGCCTAAGGCCTCCTACTTTTGGTGAGCAAAGTCTGTATGAGTTTCCTACCGATGCTGTAACAAATCACCACATACTTACAACACAAATTTATCAATGTCCCATTATGGAAGTCAGTAATTAGTTTTTTTCTGATTTAAAAATCAAGGGTCAACAGGACTTCATTCCTCCTGCATGGCCCATAGCCCCTTCTTCTATCTCTAAACCAGCAGTACAGTATATTTAATAATATATCTCTCTCTCTCCCCACATCTCCCTTCTCTTCTCCTTCTCTCTCCCTCTCTCACCCTTTCTCCCTAACCCCTTTCATGCCACTTCTTCTTCCTTGACTCTGACCCTTTGTATCTGTCTTACTAGGACCCTTGTTATTAACTTGCACTCACCCAGATAAGCCAGGATAATTTCTCATCTCAAAATTATTAACATAATCATATCTGAAAACCCCCTTTGCCATGAAAAATAACATATTTACATGCAGATAGCATGGCCTTGCTTCAAAAGCTTAAGGGTCTATGCTGTGTAACTTTTTTATTGGAATTTACCCATTTCCATAGTATCATTGAGTATGCAGATACCTCTAGTACCACAGTCCTATCTACTGGGTGATATGGCTCAAGTGACTTGCTTATGTTGCAAGACCCCTCTTTACTTGTAGGACCCACTTAAAACGATCACCGTTAACACTACCTGATGAATGTGTGGGAGCTCTATCCCCAAGTGTGAAATATGCCTCCCAAACCTGAACAGGCTTCAGATTTTGAACCAAACTTCAGACTTTTTTCAAGCTTCAGAATTCATTCATACTGATAGGAGGCTTAAGGGATACTGATTTATTTTTACTTTGTAGAGGATGTTCCAGCATCCCATGACACCTGCACCACTGTAGAAGATCCTTTAATTTCTCCAAGGTTTATCTTCCATCCTTTGGATTTCATGCATGTTACCAAGGCATTCAGAGTGTTTCCTGCTCATCAAGTCCATTTCATAAGACATCATCCACTTAGGGGACAAATATGATGTTAGAAAGAGCACTCAGTTCAATAGGCTGAGATCATGCTGCCTTGAGGCATGGCAAGATTTGGGAATCTGGGGGAGAAGCCAGATTCCCAAAGAGGATATGGAATTACATGCTATATCTAAGATACTCAACTATTCAGTGATTTTTAAAAATACCCAATAAGAAAACAGAGTACCTAAGACAGGCAAAGTCTTCTAGAGTTAGAAATACCCGATTCCAAGAGGCAACGTGAGAA